CTGTTGGAGTGTCCAGCATAGGTAAGTGCTTTCCATCCAAGCACACATTTCCGATTATAACCCATCCAAAGCATGTTTTCTGTGCAAATGGATTGTCCTTGGGTCCAATGATTTGTTGAAAAACATGGTGTGCTTCTGTCAAATCACGTCCAATCAGAAGTCCAATGTGATGTTCTGGATCATATTTAGGAATTTCTGATGAGATGGCGCAAAGGTGTGGATATTGTTCTGCGATCTCAGGGGTAGGTATCTCGGATATATCTTGTGGAATACTTCTGCATTCAATGAGGGTAGGTAATCTCAATGATGTAGATGAGTCTAGAGACTCCACTATGAAACCATAGGCTTGGCGACCAAGAACATGTTCCCTTCCAGAACATGAAGACAAATTGTACATCAGTTCATTTCCTTTTACACCCAAGGTATCCATTAATTCAGTTGAGGCTAATGTACGGTTACAATGTTCATCTATCATTGCATACACTGTCACAAATGACTCTGGATGTCCTTCTGGGTACACTCGTACTAAAACAGTTTTTGCACATGAGCGTCCATTGAATTGATTACAGATCGCTGTACATTTTGAATCCACGTTTATGAAACCAGTCTCCCCGCCGTGGGCTGTCTGGGAGCAGCTGTCTTGAAGTTTCCTCTTATAATTCACGTGCATTGCAGTAACATGACTGTTACTTCCACATTCTTTACATTTGATTTTTTCTGTACATTGTCTTTTCGTGTGACATTTAGTTCTTAAGCACTTGAAACAAAGTTTATTTTCCAACACATATCTACGACGTTCCTCCATTGACTTCTTCATGAAGAGTTGACATTCTTCAAGGAAATGTGAGATAGCATGGGGATGCAAAGGACATGATCCTTTCTTAGGGTTTCCATCACTTCCTGTTTGAACATCAGTTTTCTTTGATACAACAGTGGTTGGTTTCTTGGTGAATTTTGGTTTATCCTTTCCTGTGTATAGAGCTGGAGTATCAAACACAAAGCCAGGATCATTCAAGGAAACACTGAGTTCATGAATAAATTTCACTAATTCCTTGAATGGTGGAAATGGAATGTTATGTTTTATTTTAAATTTCACGGCTCTGTCACGCCATTTGTTCTGTAAGTTTTCTGGTAGTTTAGACACAATAGGATTGATGCCGACTGGTGTATCATAATAAGACAACAGCAGTGAATACTGAGGATTGTTCTTGTTACATTCTATTTCCCCCAAGAGGTCGACGAGGCTGTATAACAATGTTTTGTCCTTTGGTAACTGTAAGACAGGAAATTTCATGAGTTCACATCGTAACTTCGAGTCGATCAGTTCAGGTGATCCATATCGTTCATCTAACCTTTGCCAAATCTTATTAAGTGCAGCACCAGTATCACTAGGATTAGCTCTTCTAATTCTAGTAGCTTGAACTGTTGATTCAGGTCCCAACCATCTTAAGAGTAAGTCTATCTCTTCAAGGGGACTCAGTGTGGCTTCTGACACTATGCTCTTAAAGCTTCCTTTCCAGAGATTATAAGATGAAGGATCATCATCATACTTTCGAAGTCTTTGTGAGATCAAGTCTTTCTTCATCATGTAACTGTTCATGAAATTACCAGTAGCACTAGTAGTTGTAGGAATGACAGTTGACGGCACAGATGAAAACTGTTGAGGTTGAGTGTCACTTTGAGAATGTATATTCCCAGATTCAAAACTAGGCTGCGATATCACAGGTTGTGCACTAGAGGGCATAGGCTGTGTATACATAGGCTGCATTGGTCGTGGAGTGTATGTCGAGAAGATAGGATGCATAGGCCGAGGAGTATGAGGAGCATACATAGGTAGCATAGGTTGGGGTGGGTATGTCGGCTGCATAGGATATCTAGGATAAGCTGCCAGTATGGGTTGTGGTGGATTTATAGCTGGTCGCACTTGTTGTGGATTACATGTATAAGGTTGTTTTAAAGTTTCTGGAACACATGTTGTTGACACGGAAGGCAGAGTATTATCTGACTGTGGAACAAACTTTTCTGCTTGAGGATTAAGAGGTAAGTTCTTTATAAAAGTTTTAGATTTCTCAAACCCTCCTACTTTCGGTAATCCTAGATCAACGTGACTCCTTTCTTCATCACCCATTTCGAACTTCACTCTTGTTTCTGCTATCTGAACTTCCTCTTGATGTTTTAGCAATTCTAGTTCCATGTCTAAACATTCCTGCTCTTGTTTCAATTTTGCAGCATTTAATTGTTCTTCAAATTGTAATTTTGATTTCTGACGTCTTAGCTCGGCAACCTTCTCTGCAGTCTTTAGCCTCGTTTTAGCTTCTTCTACTCTCTGTTGTGATTTGGTACTTGAAGACACTCTACCACTAAGAGTGTTTGCCTCCTCTTCCATAGATCTTATACATGTTATAGTCTCACTGAGTTTTGTCAGACACGATTCTGTATCTTCACTAATTAGTCTACAGCTATTGTCTATCAATATTCGTTCACTATCACTGTAAGTATGTCTGTTCATAAATTCCTGACTGTCATTATATACTTGTTTATAAACCTGAAAGTTTCTCTCAATCTTATCGCGGATTGAGGTCAGTATTGTTAATTCTTTTGAACATGTTGTAGATTCTTCAATGTCTGATCTAATTCTTTTCTCTATATGAAGAAGTTTTTCTCTAAACTTATTTACATTTTCCTTTAACTGTTCTTGTGCCTTTTGTGTTGGAACTTTTACTCTTTCTGAAGTTCTTGTCGGTTCTGATCCCAGGGTGCCTGGCTGAACATGAGTCTGTTCCCCGGAGGGTATCTCATGTTGATTTGGTGTCAACATGGCCGGTAGTCATCTACTATGCTGTCCCAAAAAGTCGAGGACACGACAGCTAGCAAACTTAATTTATTCTCTAGGAATAAACCGTAGATGCTACAACAAAATATAAACAATACAATGTAGCACATGCAAAAACGTATCATAGGTCAGGGAGTACATTACCGATAAGCAATTAATTCATTCATGACCAAAATATTTAAATGCATAAATTAAATACATCATAGATATTGAAAGAAATGCACTATTTATCACTTATATAATGGTGAAAATGAAATAACAAAAATACATACACTGTGGGGTCTGTAAAACACCATCGATAAAATTCATAACATGAAAAGCTCGTGGAGCGGAAGAAGTATATTGAACATAAACACCAAAACCAAATACCTAAAAATTTTCCGGAACGGAACAGGTATATCTATCACTGAAAATAGAGTTTGTCACAAGGAGAAAGTAATGTCTCTGTGCAATCAAGCTCTAATATATTTCAATAAGATTTTAATAATCAAACATTTATTTTATTGTCCATACACTGTGAAAGAGTTTTCTCAGATATATACAATTTCTATTTGTTGGTTTTCATAATGTACATGGCCATAACTCTTATTATTTTGAAAAACAAAGAATGTATACTTGATGGTTTTTACATGTTTTTTATATGTAGGATGTGACAGACATTTGCTTGGTTTAGCGACAATAGCTGAAGAACTTGGTATACCAAAACCATTGCTGTTCCAAGATAAATCATTCACAAAAAGGCAAGTCAGACCCAAAGGAGGACATACTTGAGATTAAAATTAAACTAAGCTTTTATGAAACCTAAATGTAAATAGGATCTATACCTAAGTTTTTCTTCTTTCGTTTAGAAAAATAGAAAAAATATTAGCTGAAGGTCATTGACTATAAATATAATGAATACAGGCTGCCTTACAATTGCACCATTCTCAGTAAATTAACATGTTTTTTTTCAGTGGTGGGGGAGGAAACTTTGAGCTATCCACTAGTTTTGTAGGGTACACTTCAGTGTTTGGGGGAGTAGGTGCAATGACCAATGACGGATATGGTTGTTTCTATCACATGGAACAAAACTAGTGAGTATCACTCAGGTTGGAAGTAGAATTAAAGTCTTATTTTTTTTAATACAGCATCCTAAATGAAAGTATTTAATATCAGGTTTACAATTTTTATGGTTATAAGGAATCATTTTAATCATTGCAAATTTCAAAGAGGTCTCTCTAGTCACAAAAGTGTACAAATTCTTTGGATAAACATGCTTTTTTCAAACATATACATATCTTTATACTTGAAAACTGATTGAGTAATTTGAAACTCTTAGACAAGTGGTGAAGTACATAGAAGGATATACAAACTGATGATTTTCCTCTGTTGTTAACAGCATTGAGATGGTGGTGACAACATGGAGAACTAGTAAAATTGCCAGATCAGAAAAGTTTGCTCAAGTCATTCAGGAATGTTTGGACCACTTGGATGGACTGGTTTTAACAGGCACACCAGTCTCCGCTAAACTCTGATATTGTTTAGCAAAACTGAGAGATATTGGCAGTAATCTTAAACCTTTTTTTCGCTGAGTATTTAATAGTTCAATCTAGATCACTTTATAAAGGGTCATTAACTATTAATTTGTGGCCTCAGAGTGATCATGAGCCCCATAAGACTTCAAAATGACATTTACAGCTAAGTAATAAAATCTTTTAAATTATAAACTTAAAGTATCTATTAAAATAAACTGTCAAAAATAAGATGAAAAAAAAAAATCCTATGATTTTTCCAAATTTTTGTTTTCTTGTCTCATTCCTTGTATTTTACTTGATTATTTACATGTGTTGATTTATTTTTTAATTCATTTTATAATAATTTTTAAAAATGAGGATATAATGTAACTTGCAGCCTTTTTTTGTGATTAATATTACTAGTAATTGTCAGTGTTAATACTGTATATAAGGTTATTTTCGCCCTTTCATACTCACAAACAATTTTGCCCCATTTTAAATTTGCCCAGTCACAAATCTTTTTAACAAATTAAACTGTGATTTTTGATTTCGCCCCTTTTTAAATTTGCTCACTTGTGTTTAGGACAAAAGGGGCGAAAATAAAACGGGTCGAAATTTTCCCTGTATACAGTATACACTTATTTCATGACTACAAGGGGAAGAGTCAAACTGTTGTCCCGAGGTAATGGGGAAGACCTGGGAAACTGTTGCCCAAGGCCGAAGGCCGAGGGCAACAGTTTCCCAGGTCTTCCCCATTATCGAGGGACAACAGTTTGACTGTTTCCTGAGTTGTCATGAAATAAGTGTTTTATTACCTAACCTACTATATAATTTCTTAACGTAATGATATAGACATAATAATCAAAGAATTTTCAAATACATCAACAAAAGTCTGTATTATTTCTTGAAACCAAACTAAACGAGATGAATATTAATCAAATTCTCACACCGATTGGTGTAAAATCAGAAAAAAGTAATGGGGATGATATTATCATGCACTAGTAAATTGATGTATACATGTACATGTTTTATTTAGTAAACAAAATACTGATGACTTGAAGGATTGAATATAACACGCTGAGTCAGACGTTTAAGGCAAAGATCTATAGTAAGTGAAAGGGGCCTACATTTCCCCCAAATCACCTCAGAAAAGGTGTTCTTGGCCTTCTTTTTTGAAATGATATGAAATTGAATATATATTTCTATGGGTATTCGGATTACTTTTCCAGTAATAATGTCAAATTGAATGCCATGAAAATGCTTCAATTTATGTATAACTCAATATTATAGCTGAAAAGTACGGGAAATTATTTATGACGTCATAATTGACCAGTTCAGCCATGCAACAGTTCATTCTGTGACCGGGTAAACAGTTTGACTGTTTCATGATTTGCAAAAAAATATTTTAATGAATCAGGAAACAGTTAAAAGTGCCTAATTACAATTTATATGGTAGGTTAGGTAATAATAGTTATTGTTTAAGAATTTATGGTATTTAGGCACAAACTGGTGACCAAGACTGTACTTGCTCAGATAGTTAATTATAAATGTGTATTTGTAAATAATGCAGTATTTATCGTTTATACATGTATGTTATACATTTATATATTGCATGTATTTTTGCATATCATTTTAATTTTGAAGTAAATTTATTTTAAATGATAGTAGATACAGTGTAACACACATGCACTATTGTACTTTTTAGCTCACCTCGACGAAGTCGAGATGAGCTTATGCTATACCGTCGGCGTCGGTGTCGGCGTCGGCGTTAGCGTCGGCGTCCCAGGTTAAAGTTTTAGGAGCAAGTCCCATTCCCAAGTAACTATAAGCCCTACCTGGACCAAACTTGCATGGATGATGCATCTAGGGATGGACACTACCACACTTGCTTCGGATGCTGGATCTGACCTAGATTTTCCAGATGAGTGACCAGGTTAAAGTTGTAGGAGCAGGTCCATTCCCAAGTAACTATAAGCCCTACCTGGACCAAACTTTCATGGATGATGCATCTAGGGATGTACACTAACCAACCTGCTTCGAATGCTGGATCTGACCTAGATTTTCCACATGAGTGAATTTTAGCCATATTTTAACCAAATCAGCATGGATGATGTATCTAGGGATGGATACTTCCAGACTTGCCTTGGATTCTGAATCTGACGTACATTTTCCAGATGAGTGACCAGGGTAATTTTTTGGAGTAGCTATATAATATTATGGCCTGTTATGATTAAACTTGCATAGATGGTGCATCTAAGGATGAAAACTTCCAGACTTGCTTTGGATGTTGGAGCTGACCAAAATTTTCTTGATTACTAAACAGGTCAAAAGTTTTTTGAGCAGATCTATAATTAAATCAAACTTGCATGGATATTGATCTTGGGATGTACCCTAACTAGAAAAAAAATATGATGTGAAATTTGCCTTACATGTAGATAACATTCGTCGAGGTGAGCTTCGTAATCTTTGATTACCTATGTTTACTGATTCTTATTTTATTATTTAAAAATTTTAACTTGAATATTTTCCTGCTGATCAGACATAAAATTTTCACTTCAGCATACTTTAAAATCACATATTTTCGTGGGGTAAAATTTTCGACGTTTGAGAAAAAAATATTGGTTTTTGGGGATTTGATTTCATGTTTGGAGAAGTGTTGAGTAATAATACATATGAAATTTGTGGTGATCATGAATTTCATTAGTCTCTCCATACCTAGAAACTCCAAAACTGATACACCCCCCCCCCCAACCCCAACCCCTGAAAATTAGAATTAGTGATTTCACAGTAATTTCATTGGTCAGAAACAGATTAATATAACAATGTATGGTGCAATTATGAAGATGTAAATCTGTTATTTGATACTTCTTTATATTATGCATCAAAAAACCATGCAATGAAGACAAATTTATATATTACCGATATTATGATTGTGTGAAAAGCACCACAATTTTAATGTTATTGATAAAATAATATTTCTTGAAATAGTTTCTCTATGTACTGTGTAAACTTTTTTTTTTTTTTTTTTTTTTTTTACAAAATACTGTATAGTTAAGGTATATTATTTAGCATTTTATTAACAATATATACTTGATGGAAAAAAGCATGATGAAACATATACGGAAGGAGAGAGTACTGTGTATTTGAGTTACAATATATTGTGCACATATCAATGCAGGATTTTACTTAAGTGCATCACAGAGTCCAAAATAAAGATTCTTAATAATAAATTTCGTTTGTTTTTTTTTTCCTTCAAGAAATAATCTGTTGGCTTTAATAATGCTACATTTAATTTGCCTTTGTTTAACTTGCTTTAAGTATAGTTTGTTTCAATTCTCTGTGTTTCATTTTAATTTTGATAATGGTATAAAATTCTTATCTTTCGTTGATACTGATTTCGATATTGAGGTCATACGTAACGTACCTTACAATCTATCTTACCCACGGATAATATTTACAGATGTTCTTATATTCAACCATAGATCCAGCAGATGTTCTTATACAAAAAATAGGCATACATTACCATTTACCAGGGGTGTTTATCTGATTCAACAGTAACGTCCTTACAAATAAATGTGGTCGCCCGCCTGGCGCAGTGGTTAGAGCGTCTGCTATAGAGTCGCGGAGTAAGGAGCTGATATTTACATCGCGGGTTCGAATCCATTGTGGGACGTGGAGACCGGTCATTCGGATGAGGCCGTATAAACCGAAGTCCCGTGGCGCAGTAGCTGTTTGCACGAAAAAGATCCCTCACTGCTCAATGGCCCTGAGCGCCGAGTATAGGTCAAACTTTGCAACCCTCCATCGGCAAGTGGTGGCGTCTCCGTATGAGTGAAAAATTTTCGAGAGGGGCGTTAAACAACAAACAAATAAATGTGAAACTTAATAAAAGCTGTTGTTGGAGTTGACCAGTTCTTGACATTATGATCCTTGATTTTGAACTCAATTCTTCAGTTATCCACTTGTAGCTATGGTGTGCGTAACTTTCTTCGATTATTCACGTCCTATCGACATACATGTATCAGAGTTAGGTTTTCAAAACTGCTTAGGAATTCAATCTCGACGTTTGGCCTTGATATCGGTAAATGAAACCGCTACAAATTTTGTACGTTTTCAAAGTTTAAGAAATCCTTTTTGTGATCGTATTTTACTTTATAACCTCAACCATTTATTCTCTTAGACCAATGTGCTCCTAAAATACAAATTCAAAGTATTATATAAAAGTTCGAAATTTTAATGGTAAATTAACAGAAAAACTATAAGAGAGCCGAAGAGCTTAAAAGTCAAGAGCTAAAAAGTTTTATTCTTGGTATAAAATTACGTATATAACGTTGTCCAATGATCTCTTACCACGTACGTTTGTCAAATTAAATTGTATATACATTTGTATTTAATTCCTCAAATGAATGGTTGCCGATTCAATTTTTGTAAGAATTTTATAGACTAAATTTCAGACTGGAAAATGAAACTTTTTTTTTAAATTGATTTCATAATACTTAGAAAATGTTCAGAGCTTTTGTGTCGTCTATATATCTGTAAAGTTTTTTTCTCATTATGATTTTCTACTTCAAAAGAACATGATTTGAAGTTACTCCTTTAGGTGTATTTAAAGTTACCTTATTGCTGATTAATTCAATAGGGTTAAAATAGTCTGCTTCGAACTTAAAAAAATATATATTGTATATAATTCATTTATTTAAAATAATTTTCCCTTACCAAAAATATTGCCTTCCTGCAAACATTTGCTGCAAGTCTGCAGTAAACATTGCTACAAACTTGCTGCAGACATTACTGCAAGCTTGCTGCAATGAAGCTAAAGAAACCATGACAGCCTATACAAAGCCTTTGTGATTGCAGCAAGTTTGCGGCAAGTGTACAGCAAGCTTGCAGCAAGCATTTTACCATGCAAATGAGGTTTGCTGCAAGTCAGCAGCAAACATTGGATTTCCAAATATGGAAACCTTGCTGCAATAATACCGATTTATTTGAAAACATATAAACATTTATGATAATTAACTTGGAACCTTTAATACATTAAAGGAATATACAAATGTGATCTTAAAATAAAGATTAAAATTCATAAATAAATTAAGATTTGACCAAGCAAGTACATATGTTACTTAAACATGCTTTAAAGAGATAATTGTTTCATATTATAATAAAACAAAATCAGATCTTATCAATTACATGTTGTGTATGCCAGTGTACTCCTACATCCAGAATTATGCTTTTGTAATCATTCAAAATAGTATATATTTCTTACAGAATACTGAAACATCTAGAACTTCTATTCAAACATTTCAAAATGGCGAATTCTGTCTTGACCCCAGTACAATCTGCATTTCATTCCTGCAAACATTCATTTTGTTAAATGTTTCCTGCGAACTTGCTGCAAACAACAGATTGGCGTGTATGTTTCTTGAATTGTTAATGCAAAAATTTTGAGTTCCTGCGAATTTGCTGCAAACCTACGGCAATTGCTGCAATGTTTGCCGCAAGATCGCAGCTAGCGGCAATCATCTGCGAACAAGAGAATTTTCTTCCTGCGAATATTTTGTTTGCTGCAAACTTGCAGCAGACATGCTGCAGGTCTACACAGCAAACATAACATACTTTTTCTATCGGTTATCGTTACTAAGAATAGTAATTTCCAAAAGGAACATTGTCCTTTGAA